CCCAACTTAATGAAGATCCGTTACCGTAACGCAAGCCTATTTTTCAAACTTTCGTCGTCCGTGGGATTTGAACCCTAAGCCTGCTACTTGGAGAGGGTGACAACTTGACCACTTCACTAAGCTGCCACACCTCTCTATCAATCATTTCTAAAATAGCATCATGGCAATTGTTGTTTAGTTTAATAGCTCGATTTCGTTGTTTACAGTAGTAATTGTGTAAAATTGGTCATTTGACTTCAGCTTCTATTAAGTATAAAGCTAGTTAAATAAATTTTTGCGGATTAAAGTTATATAAGTTTATACCTTAATATTATCAAAAAAAAAACAATGCACATGGCCGTATTTTCAAACTTCTACTTTTTTGAAAATTGGTTTTTTGACTCAAAATAACACCCATGTGTGTCCAAAATAACGCGCCCTTTTAAATGTTGTCGGAGGCTATATGAGAAAGCGAAAGAGATCGATGGATCAATCAAACCACAACAAAACTACAACAACCACACAAACAAAGGTAGAGGCAGTGATTAAGATTTGGCGAAGATAAGGCAATTTTAGTTTGTTTTGTATGATTGTAGAGAACAAATGAATGACTTTTGCATGTATAACTATCAAGTTTTTTTATTTAAATTGTATCCTTTTTATATTTGAAGGTGAACTTCAATACCCTTACAACTGTAGCAAATTGCTACTCTATTTATACAGAACATGACAAGAAGAAAAAAATGAAAAGAAGCTAGAAACGTCTAAGTCTCGTCCCGATGTCAATATTATGTTATCCACTTTTTCCATCTCTCTTTTCCCCATGGTACAGCCAGTGGCGTCCCAACACTGCTATGTATTTTCTGGCTTTGCCCTGTACTGATAAACGATTTTTAGATCACCATCCCTTTTTCAGCCTTATTTGGTTGATTAATCTTGGAAGGAAGGGCCTGCCACGGACTTATTTTCTCACCAATTTTCGTTTCCTGGTTTACCCTGGTCTTGGGGCCTTGAAGCCTCAATTTAGTCACATTTGTACCACAAATTCACTATGGCTCTTTCCCGAAGGCTGGGGTGGCAATTTCCCCATTAAGACTTTTTTGGGGCTTGGTCAGGGCTGTTCTTTTTTAGGGAAGTTACATTATACGCATATTATTATTATTTTTTTTTTATTTATATATATATATATATATTTTTTTTTTTTTGATTCTCGTGACGTCACGAGGTTCATAGTGTTGCCTCCGACAGTTCTCCCTTGACCAGTTTTCTACGCCCTGTGAAAACAGACCTAGCTCTTGGTTTTGTACGATGGTGGGCTAATTGATCCATTAATCTAACCTACAAAACCCAGAAAAAGCAACAATCAGAGTGAAACCCCATTTTTTCTAAGATTCATTTTTCTCCACTTTCGATTCTTCCCTTTTATAATACTCTTTTAGCAGACTTAGATTAAAAGGATCTAGAATCACTTTTCCATCTAGTGTCCTTAACTTATAAGAGTCATAAGGCAGTTTATCGTGCACGTAATATGGGCCAATGCATTTCAGAGCGAACTTGTGACTTTGTGAGTATTTCTTCTTGGCATTTTCTCCAATCTCGAACCCAGCACTTACTTGATGTTTTCGGTCTTGATAGGCTTTTTCAGCCTTTTGTCAAAGCTGTATTTTCTCTATGCCGTAGTTCTTACTTATAGGTACCTTGTGTACCAACTCGAACGTCCTTTGTAGTATCGAATTTTCTAATAATTCTTCTGAATGACTGGGTGGACTGGTTGTTTGGCCTCACAGCCATATACGAGAAAGAATGGGGTCATACGAGTAGTAGAGTTTCAGGCCGTATGATACGCAAAAAGGATCGAGGTAATTACTAAATCCCAATCGACAATGTTCTTAACTAACTTTCCTATGGCCTCGTACAAGGTTTTATTAAACCTTTCGACGAGATCGTTGGTACAAAGATGGTATGGGGTGGAAAATTGATGCTTCACTTTCATTTTTTCCAGGAGAAGCTTGATGATATCGTTGCAAAAGTGGGTACTACGGTCAGATTGTATACAGTCAGGGCATCTGTGGCGACACACAATGTTGTCATATAAGAAATCAGTCACAGTCTAGGCATTGGCTTTTTCTATAGCACGGGCCTCAGGCCAACGGGTCATATAGTCCATAGCGACTATAATATACCAGTTTAAGCATAGTGTACGAGGGAGGGGGTCTACAAAGTCTAACCCAATCTTGAAGAACAGGGCTGAGATGAGTATTGGATGTAAGGCACCTTGGGTATGGGTCAGGTCCTCCTTTGGCATGCATCACATGTTTGAACATACTTGCGTATGTCCTGATACATTTGGGGCCAAAAGTACGTATCTCGAATCTTCCCAAACATTGAATCCTTATTAAAGTGACCACCCAACGGATGCGTATGCACCAAAAACAAAACTGGATTGACCTCATGCCTTCGTAATATGCAGAGCAGGTTACTCTTTTTTCGACGGTCCTTCTTATACAAAAGACCTTCCTTTGCTTTGTAAAACTCAGACTTTTTTTACTAATTTTTGCTTTTGTTCTTTGTCCAAAGTAGATGGTAAAAAATTCATATCGAGGTATTGAAATAGCTGCCGGTAATGTGTGAAATTTATTTTGTATTTGTCAGTTAGGATTTTTTATTTTTTATTTTTATATCTTATATTATTATTTTTTTGTTTGTTTTAGGCTAGTCTGTTATTATTTAAAACCACTAAGGTTATACAGCACAGGTCAGAGCAACCCAAGAAAAATAAGGAAATGCTAAAGAAGCCAGGACACCGGTAACCTGGTCTGGATTTTTGATTGAACCAGATTTTTTTTTTTTTGGTATTATATATATATTTTTTTTTGTTAGTGGATATTACTAATACTGATCCACTACCATTGATTGGGTTTCACGTTTTTCTTTAGGAGCCTCCGGCACTTCGACTAGTTCAGGAATCTGGAACAATGCATCTGTGTTGTTATGTTTTCGAACACGGCGGTGTATAATTTTAAAATTATACAGTTGCAACCACAATACTCAGCGAGCTCGTCGACCGGTCAATACTGAAGTTTGTAGCCACTTCAAGGCCGCGTAATTCATGACAACAAAGAAAGGATCTAAACCAAAGTAATGGCAGAAATATTTGACTACCCACAACATGGCAAGGCACTCAAGTTCCGTAGTGTTATAGTTTTTTTCGGTTTTGATTAATGCGCGGCTCGCATAGGCCACCACATACTCCTTTCCAAGGTCGTCTTTCTGAGCCAACACGGCACCCAGACCTGTCCTCGATGCATCAGCATGTACGATAAACAGCTTATCAAAATCAGGGTAACGGAGCACGGACGCATTCGTTAGGTGCTATTTCAATCGATCAAATGCATCTTCCTGCTCTTGTTTCCATTCATATTTGACATTTTCCTTCAAAAGATAGTGCAAGGGGCGGCAATCGACGTGAAATTCGGAATGAACTTTCAATAATAGGACGCAAGTCCTATAAACCCGCGTAATTGTCGTAAATTCCCGGGATGGAGAACTTCCGAACCTTTTTTATTTTTTCGAAATCAGGGCAGACTCTGTCTCGTCCAACAATATGCTCCAAGAACTGAAGGTGAGGCCGAAAGAAAAAGCACTTATCCAGATTTGCTTTTAACTTCATAGCCCTTAATCTAGCAAAAACGGCGGCTATGTGCTCCAGATGCTCCTCAAAGGTGGCAGAAAAAATTATAATATCGTCGAGATAGACTATGACGAATTTTTCAATAAAATCTGCCAACACATAATTCATCATCCACTGGAAGGTGGCAGGAGTGTTACATAAGCCGAATGGCATAACTACAAACTCGTAGATGCCAAATGGGACTGCAAAGGCAGTTTTTTCCAGTCTTTCTCGTTAATGCTCACTTGCCAGTACCCAGACAGCAGGTCTAAAGAAGAGAACCAGACAGCCCGACCGAAAACTTCCAAGAGGTCGTCTATGCGTGGAAGAGGAAACGCATTCTTTTTGATAACCGCGTTCACTTTTCGATAGTCAATGCACATGCGCAGTTTTCCACACTTTTTGGGAACAACTACGATGGGGACGCCCAGGGACTTTTCGAGTCTCTTACTAAACCCTTTGCTTTTAACTGGGCTATTTCCTTCTTGATGAAGGCTTATACACTAGGGGCGGCATGATATGAGGCCTGTTTAATAGGAGAGGCTATACCGGTGTTTATTTCATAGGTCATCAGGTTCGTTTGGCCTAATTCACTCATACTACTGGCAAAAATATCCTTTTCCCTATGCAACATGGCTAGGGCCTTTTCTTTTCCATCTGGATCTAAGGAGCGTCCTTTAGATTTTTCTCTAACCTTTTTTCTACAGAAGTAGCAATTTCGAGATCTGGGTCCCGAGTCGGTAATTCTTCAATGTTTACCATATATGCAGAGAGGTGCTGGTGGTTTCTCCACAGGTTCTCGAAAAGTTCATCCTCGAGAGCTCCTTCTGTGTAGTAACCTTCAGCCTCATCCAAGGCCTTATCTTTATACTCGAATTCTTCAAATGGGTCCTCACTTTCCAGAATTTCGGCAACGGGCTCAACCGGGGGACCTCCATTGGTAAATATCGGTATCTTGCTGGTTTTTCTGCTATACATAAGGTACAGTCATTTTTTCGCGAAATGCAACTGCGCTCGGGCTTTTACAAACCACTTTATACCTAGCAGCAAGAGATCATCGGTTGATTCGATTACCTGGAATGTAGTGGGAATCAACATATCCCTAATCGCTACTTTGAGGTCATTTATTTTTCCTAAGGCTCGTTCTCTGGTACTATTTGCCATTACTACCATGGTGGTGGAGGGCTCGTCAATCTTCAAACCCAATTTTATTATTATTTTTTTCGACATCAGGCACATAGTAGCATCTAAGTCCAAGACCACAACCACCGGATTATTCTTAATCCATATGTAGCAGCGGGCGGCAGTGGTTTTTTCGTTGTTTGGGTATTGTATCATATTCATTTCCATTTCTAGCAGCACAATGGGCTCAATTACCAAAGGCTTTTTTAGGGCCTGGGCCAGATTACATTTCTAATTCGGATACTGCAACATTTGTCCGACAGTAACATTGGCTTTTATATCCAGAATATCTTGAACTATATTATATGGTTCAAATTGATCAACTATCGATAAGCTTTTCTTTCATTAGGGGCATGGCGGAGGATTTTCCAGGGGCTGTTCAAGGCCAGTTGGGTCCGTTACGTTGATTGGAGGTACTACTGGGGCGTTAATTGTAGATGGGTTTGTTCTCAACCTCTCTTTGGCCTTACTTTCTGATTTCTTCACATTACGATGAGACCTCTGCATCGTATACGGCTGATGACGGGAGGCCGGGAGCGCAATTGCGTCTTCAGCTTCTGGTAGATAACCAGTATCGAGATCGCAAAGATTCACATTGCAAGTTTGTTGCAAAATCTGTACAGGTGGATTATTCAACTCAGCTTGTTGGGTTTGGGTCTGGAGAGAATTTTGGGATGGGTTTCTTGGAGGTACAGATCGTACTGGGACCCTTTCGGATATACAATCGTGTGAAATGTGTCCGGGTTCACCACAGTTATAGCAAATCAACTGCGCGGCATTATTATTGTTATTTTGCCCACCATGGTTGTTGTTGTAGCGAGGTCTTGCTTCAGTGGCTTCAATTCTTGCTGCTAGAGTCGAAACAAGCTTTTCATAATTCATCGACATAGTTTGTATTTGTTGAGTCAGATGGTTTAGATCCTCATCGTACTGGGAGTTGCGATTTTGAGCCGCACTTCTTTCACTATAATATCTGCCTGCTTCAATTTTGCAGGCTCCAATTACAGCTTTATCCAAATTTCTAGGGTCAGCCACACTTAGCCAAGAGGCTATTTTTGGTTTCAACCCACCCAGAAACATACGCACAACGTATGGTTGGGGCAAACGACTTTCCAGGTCCACATGGTGTAACAACCTTTTAAAATTAAAGGCATATGCATCTACTTGCTCGACATCACGTTGGGTTAGGACATTAAGGTCAGCTTGCCATTAATAGCGGCGTTCCGGGGTTGCGAAATATTGTTGAAAGTGGGGACAAAACTTCATTCACGCTCGTTTTGATCATCTCAATGCAAAATATTTCTTTTAATTCCATCGTACCAGTTTGCAGCTACACCACATAAATAGCCAGAGGCTATTTTTACTTTCCTTTGGGAAGACCAATTGTTCGCATCTGCCGCCCTTTCGAAGGCCTCTACCCATTCAAGGGGGTCTTCGTCCTCTTCACCACAAAAAGGTTCGACACATACCAGGTTGGTCTTACGTAATAGGGGGCAGGCAGCATCAACGACCCCAGCAGAGGCGTCTCTAAACGCATTTGCGATTTCTTGCAATATTGCGTGCAGCGGCTCCTGGGCAAGTGGAGCATTTTGGTCCTCATTGACAATGCGGTATACTGGTGGATCATCCACCGGGGTGCGACTACGATCGCTATTGAGGAAATTATGCCCTGGGTGCTCTGCGTCATGAGGGGCGACATCAACAATCCTATTTTTATCGTTGTCAGGTAAAATGTCCATTTCTGCTTTTTGTTGCTCCATTACCATGATTTGATTTTTATTAAAATTCCAATGATTTTAAAAGACAACACTTTTTATTTGCTTAAGTTGAGATTAATAGCCATAGGATCTCACAGTCACCACTACAATTGTCGGAGGCTATATGAGAAGGCGAAAGGGATCGATGGATCAATCAAACTACAACAAAACTACAACAACCACACAAACAAAGGTAGAGGCAGTGATTAAGATTTGGCGAAGATAAAGTGATTTTAGTTTGTTTTGTATAATTGTAAGGAACAAATGAATGACTTTTGCACGTATAACTATCAAGTTTTTTTATTTAAATTGTATCCTTTTTATTTTTGAAGGCGAACTTCAATACCCTTACAACTGTAGCAAATTGCTACTCTATTTATACAGAACATGACAAGAAGAAAAAAATAAAAAAAAGCTAGAGACGTCTAAGTCTCGCCCCAATGTCAATATTATAACATGATGTTATCCACTTTCTCCATCTCTCTTTTCCCCATGGTACGGCCAGTGGCGTCCCAACACTGCCATGTATTTTCCGGCTTTGCCCTGTACTAATGAATGATTTTTAGATCACCATCCCTTTTTCAGCCTTATTTGGTTGATTAATCTCGGAAGGAAAGGCCTGCCACAGACTTATTTTCCCACCAATTTTTGTTTTCTAGTTTACCCTGGTCTTGGGGCCTTGAAGCCTCAATTTAGCCACATTTGCACCACAAATTCACTGTGGCTCTTTCCCGAAGGCTGGGGTAGCAATTTCCCCATTAAGACTTCTTTGGGGCTTGGTTAGAGCCATTCTTTCTTAGGGAAGTTATATCATACGCATATTATTATTATTATTTTTTATTTATATTTATTTATTTATTTATTTTTTCGATTCTCATGACGTCATGAGGTTCACAGTGTTGCCTCCGACAATGTACCATATTACATATTTTGAATTTTCAGGCTTTCATTAATAAAAGTAGAATTTCCTCTTATAACCCAAATTTGTCAAAATGATTCGAATTACTATGCATGTGTGTCCAAAATAACATGCAGGTTTTGAAATAACGTGCAGATGCGCGTTATTATGCGTCAATATGGTATGCATATCTTTTTTTTTTGCTTCCTATAGTTCACGTCACTTATAGTTATCAAAGAAAATTCATATAAATTCAAATAGCTTTTTGTCTTTTAATTTAAGTGATATTGAAAATATAAACCATAAAAATAATAAATTCGATACTGCTTTTTCAGATTTATGGCTTATTTTTTTTTTGTAATTTGTTAATTTGTAAAGTATTAAAGATTAAAGTTAATTAATTTCAGAATAAATATAAAAATTTCTTAGGTGACATAGTAAAAAGAATGAATGATATTCCTTCATAATATTTTTTCAAGGATCTAATGAATTTTTGACCAATAACAGATAAAAATTTCGGAATGATCTATATTTTTTGATGAGTATAGGTGACATGAACCATAATGTTTTCAACATTTCCTGACAAATTAAGAAATTGTTCTGTGCTTTTAAACCTGGAATTCCACTGGCCCAAGTTATGGCAAAAAAATTTAACTTTCAGATTTGCCTAAACCAAAGATAAGTACAGTAATATTAATAATTGAATATATACTTTGTTTATACTTGATTTTAAATTAAAGCTCATAGTTAACAAGCCTTATTAGAAGTAAGGAGATAAAGACTAAAGAAACCAGTTTCCCAAGAAACCTTTAGCTCAATAACTCTACTTATATTCTGAGATGGAAAGAGATACCTAGTTTAAGTTATTCTCTTTCCATCATGGCATGTATAACATTAAAAATTTAATCATTGCTTGAATTTTCCAATATTAAAACATATATTACATATACCTCTGGTTCCTTAAGGGTGATTTTCCTAGCAAAGATCCCATATTAAATTTTATATATCAAATCTCATCATCTCGCCTTCACTATTGGGAACTAAGCTTAAAATTGATAAATTTATATTAATAAAGAAATAAACAAATAAATAAATATAAATAATATAATAAAAATAAATAAAAACCTGTTGATAAATAGAATTTATTGCTGAATTAAGGACCGTTCTCATAATCCACTGGCCCAAGTTATGACAAAAAAAATTTAACTTCAGATTTGCCTAAACCAAAGATAAGTACATTAAAATTAATAATTGAATAAATACTTCATTTATACTCGATTTTAAATTAAAGCTCATAATTAACAAGTCTTACTAGAAGTAAAGAGATAAAGACTAAAGGAACTAGTTTCCCAAGAAACCTTTAGCTCAATAACTCTACTTATATTCCGAGATGGAAAGAAATACCTAGTTTCAGTTACTCTCTTTCCATCATGGATGCATAACATTAAAAATTTAATCATTGCTTGAATTTTCCAATATTAAAGCATATATTACATATACCTCTGGTTCCTTAAATGTGATCTTTTCTTTAAATAAAAATAATGCTTTTTAACAATAAATTTTATTATTTACCATTTTTATCATCACATTGGACGTACACTCAAGAAAAATTCATAAACTTTCAATTCAATTCGAGCTTAGTATAGTTTTAACTTCAAAGTAAAATAATGAAGGAGGAGTATTCTACGAAACTACTAGTAGATTATCGTTAAATTGGGGGCTTGAAATTGAAGGGACACAGCATACACGTGATTAATTTCTGGGTTGACAATATATACTTTCTGTCAGGTGATCTTTATAGTCGAGTTGTCTTTATTGTCGAATATGCCTAACTGAAATTTCCTATCAAATTACTGCGAAAAGGGCTTTATGATAAAGAGGACGAAAAAGCTTTAAGGAATAAATTTCAAAAGGAATATGAAAAACACTAGCGTTGCAAACTTAATTAAATTAATTTGTGTATTATAAAAACAAAAAATCAAAATTAATTGTGTATTATTCAAAGCCCGATAATGTTATTTAAACTACGTAAGTTTATGTACGTACAATAAAAAGCATTATATTAATTAATATTATAAATATTATTGTACTATAAATTCTTTACATACGTGAACTTATAAACTCTTTATTAATCTAATTACAAATCGAATTCACTATTTATTTCGAACATTCTATTTATTAAATCGACTGTATTATAGTCCATATTTCCAAGCGAATTTGAATTTTTTATATTTTGCGTCAACTTAACTTGCAATTATCAAATAATATATTAGTAAGATCAATCCTCAACTCCAATACTTCGGAAAAATTTCGGGTCTTGTGACTGAAGGTCATTAAAATTCTAGCAAAATCGAATTAAAAAAACTTTGATCGAATTTGCACTGTTAATGATTGAGAAACCTTCGCTTGAAGTTTTAGAAGTCAACCCGATAAATAAATTTTACTTTTTAAAACTTTACATTATGATTTCTCGGCAATTACCAGTTCAAATTCGATGAATTTTTTTTATTTTAAATCTACAAAATTGTAGAATTAAAATAAAAAAAAATCATTCAATTTAATCAAGTATTTATCGAGTGAGATTCGAAAAAATTTGACCGCAGCTTCTTTTTGATGAGCGTTTGAATGTTTCTCAATAATTACCCGATCAAATTATATGAAATATTTTATCCTAATTCTAAAAACTTATTAAAATGAAAATTTTTTATATAATTTGATAAGGTAATTATCGAGAAATCTTTGTTCAAAGTTAAACGTCCGAAGCTGCGGCTAAATTTTTTTCTATCTTTAATCGAATATTACTCGACAAGTACCAGATCAAATTAGGTAAAGGTTTTTATTTTAATTATGCAAGCTTGTTGAATCAAAATAAAAAAAAACACATCGAATTTGCACTGTTAGTTTTTGAGAAACCTTCGCTTGAAGTTTTAAAAATTAGAATGTCAGAAAAAAGAATAAATTTAGGTAAATTTTCCTTTTTTAAAACTTTACATGATTTTCTCGACAACTACCAGTCCAAATTCGATGTATTTTTTTTTTATTTTAATTCTATAAACTTGTAGAATTAAAAAAAAAAACATTCAGTTTGATCGGGTAGATCTGATTTTATAGTTTTTTCAAAGACATTCTAATTTTTTTAAAACTTCAAGCAAAGATTTCTCAATAATTAACTCGATAATTTTTTTTATTTTAATTCTACGAAGTTATAGAATTAAATAAAAAAAAAAATTATTGGATTTGGTTAAATGGTTATTGAGAAACCTTCTCAAAAGAAATTTCAATATACTCATACGATTTTTTCATAAATAGTACGAATAATCAATGTCAAAAATTATTATTGAATTACTGTAATTTTTGAATTAATAATATTTTTCGTAATTTAAGTTTGCAACGCTAGAAAACATCCGATTACCTCGAGGGAGGAAAGCGTACCATGCATAATATACTGTACCTTTTTTTAAAAATTTCAATCAATCAATTCATTCATCATTCTTTTATATAGTTAGTAATAAAGCAGAGATTTTAGATGTGCAAGCAATTTTAAATTTGTTTTAGCGTAATTAAATTTTTTGAAAGCTTCGCTAACCCATTCTGACATTGTTTGTTAAAATAATATGTTAGATTAGTAATTAACTTTCGAGGACAAATGATAAACGTCAATTAGTTTTTCATATCAATCAATACTACAATAAGTTACAAAAAATTAGTTGCTTTAATTATTCTTTATCACTAGAATAGTTATAAATCATGCAATAACAACCCATAGATTTGAATGCAGCACAAAAAATGCGCGGCAGATCCTCGATTTTGATTGGCTAACGGCCGAGGAACTTCAAAAATTTGGCCCGCATTACAAAATTGTTTACCAATTTCCGGCCGGAATTAACAAAAATAGAAATTTTTAAAAAATATGGTAAAATTGGCGGCACCTAAGTTCAATGTTATATCGCGCTTATACGGTATAAAATAAAACTTGTCTGTAAATTGATTGTCTGTAAAATAAATATTTCTGTAACAAGATGTCTATGAAGTGGGCAGTACCAAACTCAGACCAACCCTAAAAGTTTGGCGTCTGACCAAACTGAATCTGAATTCAAAACTAGGTTGGATTCTGGTTTGATTTTCAACCGAATGGAACATGACCCAAAGTTCGGCTCGGTTCAGCTCAGTCCAATAGGAATCCCAGGGCTATCAAATTAGACAAAGGGTGTTATCAAACACCTACCTCAATGGACTCAATGGACTCAATAACGATCTGATTGGTCGGTTTAATCAAACTAGCCAATCGGATTTTTTATTGAATTCATTGAGGTGGGTCGGCCAAAATCTTTAAAAACCTTTTTTTTTTGCTTTTAGTTAACGTACGTTACAAATAAAAAGCAACCCCAAAAAGAAATTACCCTCCAGATTTTGGACCCAAAAGTTGGAGGAGACTATTACGTTTTAATAATAAAATTAGGCCTACCTATTTACTTTAGTTTGAAAAAAACTTTTTTTTTTCAACATATTTGATATTAATTTGCGTATTTGTTTAAGATCATAAGTTGTTTCCGAATTTACTGTTGTTTCGTATCTACCTACAGATAAAAGATATTTATAAATCATTAGATATGTATTTTTTATTGTGTTAACAACTTTGAAATATTATATTAATTATTAATTTTGATATTTTGACACATGCAAATTGAATCTAGCTAAAATTCGAAAGTGACTAATAAAATTTTAGTAGATATAGAATAACCTAATTAAAAAATTTGCATTATTATTTTAAAAAAATTTTTAGTTTGTATTTAAAGACTTTATTTTACTATTTACATTAAAAATTCTTTACATAAAACACAAGTATAATTCTTTCATATCAAACAAAAGAAAAACACAAGGTTAATAAGAAAACGAGATTAACTGGATAGATGAGGGCCATTTTCATGGTTTGAATGTTTTGGTTGGATGAATGATTCAAATGAAGATTAGAAATAAGTGACGATAAAAATCTAAAAAAAGTCTAAAGGAGAAGGTTGCCACAGCAAATAATGATACCTCGGGCAACAATTCGCAAAAAGACTATAGATTCATCCTTTTCTTAATCGTCAAGAGAATAGTCAGATATTGCCTAGCACATTTCAAAACAGCAGCAGGAGAATTGTTTGGATTACTACAAAAGTAGCCTCTTTCTTTACGAATTAAATTCGGACGTTCTTGGTCTAATCGGACGTTTATATCTTTAACCTGACTATTTTTTTGTTGATACGTAAGAATGAAGTGCATCACGTGACTTACGTCCCGAATTCACGAAACCGATAAAAAACCGATAACAGGTAGATACCTACATATACTCTATTTTATCTTCACTAAAAGAAACCAGCTCTATAGGTTCAGTATTTTTTCCCTGTAATCTTTTTATTGCATATTCTTCAGCATCGCCATTTTGCCAACCACGACATTTTTTTCCTACACGATATGCAGCCGTTGATTCAATCATTTTATCCTAAATAAGGTTTTTTAGGAGACAAATTAATAGAGATTAATATTATAAAAATAAAGGAGAACATTGTATTGTTAAAAGAGAAAGTACATACGCTCATAGAAAGTTTGGCTTTTTTTGATTTAATATGTTTAGAATGACGTTCAGAAGGAAAATAATCTATAGATTTGATCCATTCTTTTTGTCGATTTGGACCTAAAGGAGAAGGAATATCTGGAATATGACATGAATTTTTCTTTTCTAAAAAGTAATTATGAAAAAAAAAAATAAAAAAATGCATGAATAAGATTTGACGAATAAATTGGAAGAAAAATGCAAAGAGAGACTGTGTAACGGGAGAAATGCGAGAATAAATTCAAATAAGGTAACATAAAAACATACGAAGTTTCTTTAAGGTGAGTTCAGAACGCACTAGCACATGAGGTTTCTCAGATAAAGATCTTGCCATTGAAAATTCGGAAGGAATAAAAAGGTCAGAATCAAGAGGAATATCAAAAAAACTAGAAGAATAAAAAGTAATAAGGAGAAAAGAGGTTATAAGAAAAGAGGTTATAAGAATAAAGACCACAAAGCACATATATATACAAAAAATCCAACGTAACCAAAGATACATAAAACACAAACGACGGTATTGTAATACAATCCCTGCATATAAAAGGACAAGCAACCATAAATAGATAAAATACTCACTAAGCATTAAAAGCTTCATTATTATTCCCACCATTGTCAACACTACTTAACGCCGAGGAACCATTCTTAGAAGAGGTTTTACAATCTTTTCTAAGCCCATTTCTTTTTCTGGAGATAACATTGAAAAATTTTGATTTTAAATTGGAAGCGATACCACCAATTACGTTTACTAAAAACCATACGCAAAATTTTATTACAAAGGCACATGAACAAAAAGCAGATAATGCACAAAATGTCATAACGGATAAAATGATTACAGAAATTGCGTATAGTTTGTTATTGGAGATTGTCGTTGTTTTTAATAGAGACATTGTTCTTTTTTAGGGAAAATAAATTTTTTTGGATAAATGTAAAAAGCCGTCAAGGTAAAAGCCGACAAAGAAAGAATTATGGACCGATCGACAAAATATATAAGATATATTTAAATGTTCAAAGAAAGTACAGGAGTAATATTATTAAAATTTTGATGTTTTTAGAGATATATTTTTCGTGGAGTTGCATCAGACTACTGGATTAATGGATTTAGTAATAGCTATGGAAGTTACTAGAGACACAAAAATGTCTGTTACTTAATAATGAAATTATTATTATTATTATTATTATTTATGTATGAGAACAATCGATGTTTCAGAATCAATGCGTTTTATGAAATTAAAAGAAACTCAATTCGGTATCATTAAAATAATAATACATTCTTCTTGAGGGAAAGTTTTTTTTTTTTTTAGATAGAAATCAAATTGGATATTTATTTATTAAAAAATATGGTACATGTGATTCGGTGAAACAATAATGAGCCGTTAGTTATTGTATCATTGTTACAATAAATCATTAAAAAAATATATAAAGATGTGCTAAATAAAATAACTAGGATAACTAGGGAAACGCCACACACCCGTTTTGCCAGTTATCATTAATTACCTTTTTCAAATCTTTTGGATGAATGTGAGAATCAGCAAAGATATGCAAGACTTAAAGTATGCAAGTCTTTAAAGATAGTCGTTTACTTATGAAAAGATATACGTGCAACTTTACATGTTACATAAATTATCTGAATTGGAAATTTCAAGCCAGAGGACAAATGCAAAAAAAAGTTAAAGGCGTAACACACGTTATAAAGAGAAAAACGAATCCTAATAATGGATGATGAAACGCCATCATTTTCAGTTTAGCCTATTATATTGTGCTTATAATTATACATACGTACGTACGTACGTATGTATGTATGTACGAAAATTACAATCATAATCCAAATTTGATGGTAATGGTAAACCGACCTTTTAATCAATTAAATTGATTTTACAAAGTTTCAAATTTTCTGTATCAGTATCAGTATAATGGCGGACGCATTAAGGAGGTATCGGTATCCATAGTTTTACGTTAAACCAGTATTGTTATCAGTTATAGGGTTCTTAAAAATAATATTATATTTCAAAGTCTCTCTATAATATAGTACTGGTTTAACGTAAATTATGGATGCCCCTTTAGTGAGGATTGCTAAAGATAATTTAAAGATAATTTAAGGTAAGGCGCCATTTAATTTGATGTAATTTTTAGACGTGCGTACGTATGTACATACTTCTTGTGAGAAAATCTGTTTCATGTGTAATACTGTAATATCAAAGATAACGAATTTCAAAATCACTATCAAATAAGGAAACTCTTGCTCAGCAATGCTGACATGTATTATAACATGTGATTCAATATTATTCATATATTTTTGGCATTATTGTCGTTATTATCTAGAAAAATATTATATCTAGAAAAGAATCGATTATTCCAAACTCACGTTGCATGTTATTATTTCACGCGTCTAGATTAAAGTGATCATCACGATTATTACTTACCGACCGAATTATAAATCCCAATTCCCAAGTGGGAAAACCCTAGGATACTGCCGCTTGATCGTCTGTTTACGCTGCTGATCAAGTGGCAGTACGGATTATCGTTAACACAACCTAGAGCTAGAAATATTAGCCAGTTACTACGTGTATATAAATCATTAATTTTCCATTCCTTGCCCGTGAGTATTCGAAAAAAGACACTAGCTATCTATATAATTATAGGGTTATATACAGGCTAGAGAAGTCGGCAATATTCATGACTATACATGGCATGGCGAAATTTTTTTCATATTTTCGCCACGGTGTTTCAAAATGTTTGAATGGTCTTTGGTTGCCGATTTTATAATTGACCGCTGATATTACTATAACTATCTATATATATTATTATAGACAGTCCATATATTATATTTTAAAGGGGGTGTTCACAAATAATATTATCTTGAAGGTGTTCCCCTTTTAAAATCTTGATAAAAACTTGTCACTTAATCATTGATATTATATTTTACGTTATGAAAAAGAAAAAAACTCATTAAAATCTTTATATTCACAAAATAAAAACTTTATATATAATTGTTTAATAATATCGCTACAAATTTTGGGGTTCATTTTGCGGATAACTTTGAGGATACATTTTAGTATCCATCCCATCCGCAAATCCGCCGATATGATACACATGATCTCGACTGACTGATATTCACTTTTAGCCTGTGACAGTCAACGAACTAGCCATAATGAACCCTGAATATGGCGAGCTCAAAAATCTCAAATTTTATAACAGTTCGGTCTAAAAAGTGCTTTTTTCTATTTTTTATATGATACTACATAAAGATTCATCTACTGTAGAAAATAAAATATTTTTTAATTAATAAAATTACTAAAATATAGTTAACGAGAATATGAATAGTTCTTATATTATTGACTTTGACTTATGTAAACCAGTGTCACAAGAACCAGGCTCTAAAAATATTTTCCATATATTAACGTTAATTACAGACACCAAATAATCAGATTTATTTTTTTGGAATAATCATGTTACTGGGCATCCACCGCATCATGATGTTTCACATGATAATAAACTAGCAATTAAAGTTTGTAAGGGCCTTACCGGTGTAAAATTCCTCAATTACTTTTGTATTTGATAAACAAATACTTAGGTGCTGAATCTGAAGAATAAAAGATATGCTTTGGTAGTATTATTTTGATACAGATGTACCAGGAAGTGTGGTATTCGATCAAATTGCAGAAATTGAAAATTTAATTATTTAATAATACGATCATTACGAATTGATTATTAAACACAAAAACAAGCTGCTTATACAAGTCAACATTTAAATTTTCAAGACCTTCCTAGATCAGGTAATAATATGTTGATAGGAACAGGCGGACTAACATTTAAAGAAATTAATATCATAACTTTTAAATTCTGATTTTTAAAACTATTTTAATGATTTAGCAGCAGTCAAGAATAATATCTTTATTAAATAATTTTGAAATCAATCAAAATATTGAGTTATGAAAATTACGTTTTTTTAAAAATTAGCTATTGATTAATAACGGTTTATTTATTTATGTATATATTTTTAAAGAGCAATTATTAATATATTAATATTAAAATTTTTAAATCTATAAATATAGTAAATGCAAGTAACAATATTTCTCCAAGTTGATCTATTAAATATTTTGAAATTCCTAATATTGGTAATATAGTTCTCTATTTTTTTTTTTTTTGATAAATTCGGCAATCTTGCCAACACTTTATTAGTATCTCTTAAACCGTCAGAATAAGCGCTCATATATGAGCGCTTAAATTTAAAATAGTAGTTTATAATCTAATTTTAT